AACCATATGTTTAAAGATGCAGAATTGTAAGCCAAGTATTGAAAACGAGTGAGTAGCGATCATGAGAGCTCGAAGCTGCAGGATTGTAGCCATGACAACCATGCCATTTTCTTGTGTTCCTGTGGCTCAGGAGGTGGAGATGGCAAAGGCAAATGGCCAGGGTGTGAAGGTTATAACAGCTACAGTGCCAACAAAACCAGATCCAATATATGTTGTACCATTTAAATATCTAATGAGCATGGGGTTCAAGCAATTATATCAAGTAGACTCTATTGTTTGACTGATAATAAACCATAACGGAGAAAATTAGCATGTCTGTAATAATATCCATAGCTTGCTGCAGGTCATGCTTATCTAAACGAACTCACACAAGGAGAGATTAGGAGGAATATTACCTTGACAGCCATCGGGTAGGTATGGATTGCCTTGATAATTAAGAGAACATCGACAAAAGTACCCAAAATTATAATTCGTGTAGGCATTATTAAGGACGTCGTAGCAGTCACTATTGGGATTGATGCAAGCGTAGTTTGTCATATTCTTAGCCTCTTCACAGGTAGGATGGTCTTTGATGTACCAAGATAGGGCGACCTCCGCTTTTGTGCTTTTTCCCTTCCTTATTTCTGTGAGATCATCATCAGTAATATTTCTTGTATCATAAAGAAAGATTTTGATGCTGGAGCTATTGACAAGATGAAACTCAGTCTGGTTGAGTCGAGTTAATTGAATCCCCAAAGAAGTCCTGTTCCAATTATATAGATCAATTGTGCAATACCTGTTGCCATTGGGAGTGCATATAGTTGCGCAAGTATCAAAAGTATCATTAGTAACGGGATCCAGTAGAGAGGCTACGGCGTTGCAACCAGACACTAGCAATGTATTATCTGTAAAATCAAAATAGGTGTTACGTATTTTCTGTTCTGATGAAGTGAAAGAGTAAGGCCAACCCTGAAGGTCAATTAACGGAACATTAATGAACTTCTCATCCAAATCCATGGTGACAATGGGTGTCTTGACGCGCACAGTCCCAATATCCAAATCGATTCTAGTGACCTCGAGTTTTCCATCACCCAAGAAGAGCCTTGGAGGTTGGTCGGTATTTTTCTTGCAAGTAAGATTAAAGCCCCGACGATAACAACCTTTGTCTATCCCGAAAGGGTACTCAAAATTGATATTGCCACATCTTTTTGTGCAATTGGAAGGTAAAGTGAAATTTTCCTTTGTCGATGCGCTTTCTACATTTGTTGAACCCATTGAACTCAATGTCAGAAGCAGCAGCAACAGCTCCACCCACCCCATCCTCTCTCTCTCTCTCTCTCTCTGAGACTAAACTTTCCCTCTTCCAGCTGCCTCAGTCCTGTTCGATAAAGCGGGATTCCTGCAGGTCAGAGAGTAACTTGAATCGGCGACATGGGCAATACATAAAACACTCTACGGTAATACCATAAACACAGCCACAGGAGAAGCTATGTATGATAATTAACAGTAGCAAAATTCCCAAGCATGATACTACTGAGGTTGTCTGCATATTTCTAGATATAGCCCAAGATATGGAGGATCTCCAGCATAAGAAGAGAATTCGTTTGATCATATGCATCCGTTTTGCATCGATGTAATTAAGGAAAACCAAGAAGCGCAGCAAAGAAATTAAATGTCAAGCTTGCGAAGAAGACCGGAGTTGGGAGAGAAAATTCCACTCACCTTCGCGTCTCTGGTTGTTGCTCTATCTTGAAGGACACCTGCAATAGGGAGTTAGGTCGTTGATATAGATGATGTGCTCGAAACAATTGCTGGAGTTATAATTAACCACACTTGCAGATGGAGATGGCAAGCCAATCAACAAAGTTGACTAGACTTGTAGTGTGTACTGCTTACCTCTTTGAACTCGTCAGAGCTGTTCCATCGGCCACCAATTATCATGCAATACATCTTTTTTTTCTCCAAACGACTAAGTATTGGAATCATTGCCACTTCCAAAGGCTTGGGAAATCTAATTCCATTGTCCATCGTACAAAAACAATATCCGGGTCAATCTCGATGCTACGGTGAAAAGGAAAATAAAATGAACAACCCAATACTGCATGCAAATATGTCTACTTCGAATTATATATATATGGTTGCTGAATAGCTATACTGACTAAGTGTTGCGTAATTTACTAGTGTCTATTATGACCATTATGGAATTGTTAATCACGCATAAACAACTGACTTTAGAAGGCTTCTGGGTATCGACCTGAGCTTGTGCTTGACTCATAAAGTCAACAACACCCTTATAAGCCATAAATTTCGTTCAACAAGAAGCCACTCTTCCTTCGTTGGTGGCTCGGCAGAAGTATCGTTGTAAAACCGGCATTGTCGTGGTCATATGGCCTCACCTTTTACATTACGTGACTGAGACAAATGAAGTTTGATGAATCGCGCTTGCATATCTTTCAACGATAAAGTCAATACAAGCCATCATCGAGTCCGATAGCTTGATTGGGATAGATTGAGAAAAACCCACCTGGAAATTAAACCATTCACACTGTGTTGCTCACCTGATAAGATGTCTGATGACATCCAATTGCTGCCTCGTATGATCTTGCAAAAGAACAATCGGTTCTTTACTCGGTTTCAAGTTTGCCTTCGGATTCACATCCAACAGGCATTTGTGAATTCCAGGAAAAGAGAACAGAATTAGGTACAACGTGCAACAGCACCTACAATGGAATGCGAATAAATTGGTGGAACGAGAATGGAGCATGATTTCATGATGACAGGGTGAGAATCAATTCAAGTTATCATGACACCTGCTTCACAACCATTCCCTCTTTAGAGTTTGTATATGGTGGTAATATATATAAGGATAAAAAAAAGGAGAAAAGTCTCCATTCTTGGAAATATTATAATTGATTTCTTAATTTTATCTGACATGCCAGTTCAAACAGGAGAAAGATTAATGCCATGAGTATCACATCTCCAAAACGACAATGGACCTTGACTTCCAAGTCTTTACACTAAGTCCTATGGTAGAATATATTGTGATGCTAACTTGTGTTATCTGTCCTCCCTTGAAAAAAAAATCCTTATGTTCGTGGAAATTTCAAATAGGAGGCAAAACATGCATTTTGACTTAAAAACTTGACTTGAGCCCTAAAATAAATAGAACTAACCAATATTTAGATTAATAATTTGCAAGCACAACGCCTCAGATAATTTAGGAAAACAATTTAAATCAATATTAGAGTAAAATAATAAAACCACATAAATAAAATTAGAATTTTAAAATATTTTTTTTTTTTCTGAAGACCAAACCCTTCTTGTTTGAGTAATATATAACCAACACTTCAAAGGTTAAAATGGGAATGAAGGGGAATAAAAATATAAATGTTGTCTTCCGAGTATTTGATTCAGAGCAATAATTAGAACTACATTACTGAACAGATATGACTAGAATTGTAGAGTGTATTGCAATCTATTTGGACTCGTAGAAGCTGTTCCATCGTTATGATACGTTTCTCCATGCTGAAAAATTGAGTCCCTAACAACATATCACGGTTTAACGTTTCGATAAAAGTATATAATAGAAATAATGGAGTTGACACCTGTACCAATTCACGTAATCAGTTTATAATATTTGTGTATCATGTCATTCTGATTACTCCCACATCATTTGTTGTCTTAGATTTAGCTAGTTTGCGAAATATAACTTCTTTTAGGACATATACGTGGCTTTTGGATTCCATAAATGTGGTATATCCTTCACAACTAGTAACAAAATTGGTATTTGACTCATATACTAGTAGTCAAACAAGTATCATTTCAAAGTACTAATCGGATAGTGCAGTATGGTATGGTAAAATTTATTATTGGCTTGTTAAGTAAAATTTATTGAAGTTAGTTAATTGTAGATTATAGTCATGCTTTCACATTTTTCTAGCATTAGCCTACGCTTATAGTCGTCTAAAGCATCCATATAAAAGTGAGATATCATATTTGGATCCTTTCATCGGGTTGCTATTATCTTCTCGTTCTTTCTTAAAGGCTTTCATGTTAACTCGTTCTTTCTTCTATTTTCCTGTTGCAGTGAGATCTATTCTTCGGATTTGAATAGAGAACAACTAGTCAAGCCATCAGTAGGACAATATAGCATGACTATAATGTAAAAACTTATATTATTTAGTTTATGGGCCAATATTGATAGCAGGATTAATCCTGAACTAGTCATTTCTTAATTTATTTTAGATATGAAATTACTTTCTAATAAAAGCCCATAATTAGTAAAAAAAATTGGGATTTAACTCATCCACTAATAGCCAACAATGATCATTTCAGTAGTGCTGTTTCGTATCATTGAAGTTATTATGGCTTGCCAAGAAATATCTTTATCTTTGAAGCTAAATGTAGGATTTTCTATCGGAGTATTATTATCTCTTCATTCGAAGAGAAACTGTCCTTAGAGATATTATGTTTGAATTTTTCATTGGGTTGCTTGAGGAATCTGACAAGGTTGATACGAAGACTAGGCATTTTGTGGCACGAGAGTTCAGTATATATATATATATTATTTATTTTTAATTTACCCAAGCTAATATATGCCTCTTATAATTTAATCCTTTAATTTTTTTGTTTTTTTATCCCTTAATCTTTTATCATGTGCGATTGTCATGAATTGACCTAATAAATAACTAATTTATTAACTTATTTATATTTGAACTATTAACTCAAGGTACTTAAGCATAATTTAACAGTAATATATCTATCACATAATTTTTTACACCTTCCTATTAACTGATACTGTCTTTGTATTAAAGTTTACATTCATTTAGATTCATAGGCTTAAGAAATCTAACTTCGCTTACTTTCATACAAAAAACTATGTATGAGATAATCTCAATGCTATGGTTAAAAAGAAAATAATGAATGAATAACTCATTATTGTTATGAATGGATTGCTAGTTATAGTTATATGTATGAGTGTAACGATTAAACTGTGTCAACGCATGATATATGAAGATGAAAATCATCAAATTAGAAACTAAAGTAGTGCTAAAGTACTCAATTAAAAATAATAGTGTCGAGTATTTAAAACAAGGCTAGATAATAGAAATTATGGTTGGCTCCTCTAAACATCATTTTCCACGATGAGGATAATCACAGAGTTTTGAAATAATTCGTTTGACATAGAAAATAATATATTAAAATAGATCCTGAAGACTTGGCTTTTTCTTGACAACCTCTTGAACTTGAAAGAAAAGGAAAGAGCACGATTTTAAATTGATATGTATGGCTTAGAAATTCCAATTGATGTTGACGTAGTATTTCAACAACTCGTATCTTAGAAAGTCAACAAGGCAGTCAGTTTAAGCATGCCTCATTAGATCATTTGTCGTCAATGCAGCAGCACGAGTCTATCTAGCGTGAACATCTCGTTCACGCAACCGAAGGTGTGGCCCTTGCGAATCCACCTGTTTGCATTCGTCCCACAGGAGCTCGTGCTTGAATCATGTAGTCCAACACTAAGCTTCAGCTTTGGATAAAAGAGATAGAGACTCACCTTTCGTTCTACAAGTGACCTTGTCCTGCTACTTGCGTTGCATCATGTAGACAAATCGATCACCATGGGTCACCTTATGTGAAATGAGAATAAAAAGATCAATGGACTGACTTCCACCAAGTCTTTGCATCGCTCCTCGATGTAGTAAGTATTGATAAAACAAATGTATAATGTGCATGAGATGTAGTACATACAAAGGCTATACTGAACGAAAATTGACTTATGTACACTCGTAACGTTGGTTGGAGCTTGTTCTGGTTCAATTCGAAATCAAATTAGATTAAAATTAGAATTGAATCGATTCATGATTTGATTTTGATTCCTGATTTTATAAGATCAAAACTGGCGGCTTGGATTCTAAACCGACAGTTCTAAGTATAAGTCGTTTAAATACTTTTATAAATAACTATATATTGTATATAGTACAGCGACTAAAATATTAAATTTAAATCAAAGAAGGTGGGCTTGAGTCTTGAGAGATGCTTTATGTTTGATTAAGGAATTTTTAAAGAGGTGTTTTGTTAGATTTAAAATTTTAAAATTTTATTTCTTTATATCAGCCTTACTTATTATAGTTATACATCTATTTTTTAAATTCTAGAAATAAAATTATGATTTTTTTTCTTCATATTTTAAATTATTTTAAATTAAAAAATAATGGTTCGAACATTCCCTTTCTTGGTTTTGAGAAACTGAAACCAATAATTCTAAAACCGTGATCTGATTATTGTGTGTGAATATATATTGATGCTAAGCTTTTTTAAATTGACAAAGTTGGAATCCATATTAAAACTTTCTATTATTGAAGTTTGGTCCAAATATAGTTTTCTTGGAATAGAATCTCCTTTTTTTTCTTCATGATTTTGAAAGCAATATGGTAAATTGGTGACATTACAGTCAACAATAACATGATAATTTTAACTAATTAATAATGTGCGATAAATATTTAACTCGTATCCTCATAAAGAAAAGAACAGGATATCGAATTGATAAAAGCAAATTATATTATTTCCTACTTTTCCTCGAGTCTAATCAATGATCATATGTCGATGACCTCGTGTGCTTCGTTGAGAGCGAATAAAATAGAGCAAAGACACGACGTGCATCTACAATTACTAAAGTACATCCAGACAGTAAGATATGACTAAATAAATTTAGATCCTACCAATGAGACTTTTGATGGGTGTGTACAAAAGTTATCTCAGAAAGCACATGTTTTTCATTG